CCCCATCAGCCCGCTTCCCGGTAGCACCAACTTTTCACACGGTGCTCTTCCTCCCCGCGTCCCAACATTGGCTCATGGCAAAGGAAAGCGCTGTCAGTTCAGTTTGCAAATGGGGAAAACGAAGCGTGGAATTACATCGGTCCCTCCAAGAGGCTCCTGTCAGTGCCAGGGATGGAGTTCTGAGACGATAGGACCAAATTCACCAGGCAACGCTTGCTTCCTTGTTTATTAAACTATCCAGCAACGTAACAATACATTAGTAACAGATGTGAACCAGAGCTGGAAAGGTCTTAGAGTTCAGTGGATGTTCCTCCTCCGTTTCTCTTCCAGACCAGATCTGAATGAGATACAAGATGAGTAAAAGAAAAGGCTCTCCCCTTGCTGTTTTTCTTGATTCAAAGTTAAATAAAAGGTGGATTGGAAAAGATCTTCCGTGATCCAAGTCTCTCTACTCGACAAGAGCACGGTAAGCGTTCAGGGGGCAGGGTGGCAGTCCTGCGGAGAAATGAGCACCTACTATTCCCTCCAAGCTGTGCCAGCTGCAGGCACTCAGGAGCAGATCTTAAAATAGTTGTACCGCCTATCATTCAAAGGCAAAAAAAAAAAAAAAATTAAGAAAATTAAAAGGCAGATGTGAAAGCAGTAGTGTGGTTTATGCTTTACTTCTTAAAAATAAATGCTGAGGCTTCAAGCCTTCACTCTCTGTTTGGTTTACATAATTTAGAGGGATTAGCTTTTTCCATCCTCCTCAGAGAGCAACTGGTGAGCGTCTACTTTGCATCTGGAGAAATGTGTGTTAGTCTCGAGGCCTGACATTTGTTTTGTGTCTATGGAATTCACCCTGCATGGGGCTGTCAAATTAAATACGATAACTGGCTTTTCCAAAGCAGCAGATAATTTATTGGTCATTAAAAATCCTAGTGGCTGTGCAGTCTGCTTGTGCTGAAGTCTCTTACTGGTGCCAGGGCATAAGAATTTAGTAAACACTAATCATGGGCTCAGGCAAAGGGTTCAGATGGTGGAGACCAACAGGGCTGGTCCAGGACCCCTTCAGTTGCTGTTTGTTTTCTCTGTACTCACTGTGCTCCTCATACATAATGCTGATGGGTTTGTTTGGGGTTTTTTTCCTACCCAAAATAGGTTTTGAAAAGCTTTATTTTTTTAGTCCTGTAGACCAAGGACCACCTTGCTTTGTCATAAGCGATGGTTTGTTGGTAGCTGTGGCTGACATGGTGTATTTTCTCAGTGGCTTGGCCACTTGTGCTGATCCAAAAATGTGCTCATGGGTATTATCCTGGCATGGGTAACGAGAACAAGGTTTTCCCTTGCGAAGACCATCACATGACTGACTGCCTGAACGATGGAGCAGGTTCCTCTTCTGCCCTTCCGTCTTATGAAAATCTGGGAGAAGGGAAGCGAAGCTGAAGGTATGTGGGGTCTGATCCCAGACAGTCTGTGTGCTGCCAGTCTGAATTCAGCCTGATCCAGCAGAAGTCAGGAGCACCCCCTTTCCCACCCCGCCAGAGCCGTGTGTCTTTGATTTCTCCCTCTTGTCCCTTCCACCTTTGGTGAGTCATAGCATTTGAGAGCCTGAATTCATTTTTGAAAATAGCACTTTGGTATATGTAAAAATACCATTCTTCTTTTACCAGAAAAAGGAGCAGTCCCCACGCAAGAGGGTAGCTGGCTTATGGCATTTATTGGCTGGAGCGGAGCTGAGGGAAACTCACACCTTTCTGTAGGCTCCTCTTCCACGGTGTCAAAGCCGTGAAGCATATTAGCCCACCGCCACCAGTGAGTTTATCTGTGGCTTTACAACTCCTAGGGGCAACACTGAGCCTCGTAATAGGGCAGAGCCGGGGACCTCCTCTCCCTTGGTGAGCTCAGGCACTGCAGATGCCTTGCTGCTGCAGAGCTGGGCCCAGCCACACTGTGAACATGGAAACCGTGGCTGCAGGTCCACGGCTGTGTAGTTACACCAGGGTCTGTAACGTGGGCCTGCACCTCACGATGCAAGGGGTGCTTAGCTCCCCTGTTATCCACACCTGCTTGCATCCCTTTTTGCTTAGGAAGATTCCCACCAATGGTCCAGAGCAAGAATTTTGCTTCATTTATGGTCTGGTATATGTCTGCAGTCAACAGCTTCAGGCTACCCCTGTTCACCAGAAACCCTAAGGGCTGAGGAGCAGATAACAAAATAGGAATGCGGACAACTTGAAATGCAGATGAAGCCACAGACTCCTAAGTCAAAGTGAAATGCTGTTTCAGGATTGATTAACAGAGGTGCAACCAAGCAGTTACAGTTGACAGAAGTATTTTAGAAAGGCTCGCATTTTAAGTACCGCTAAATAATAATTTACTGGCTTAATAAGATATCTAAGTGTTGCCAAAGTCCAGAGTGTTCTTTCTGTCTGGTCTGGAGGTGCTACCTGTTTATCATCAAACACTTCTCCTGGCTTGTCATTTTTATTCTGGATGCTTCTGGTGTATTTTCTGGAGGTGTTTTCATTGTGAAAGCCAATGGCATTTGCTTCCTGAAGGGCGGGAGAGAGGGCTGGTGTGACACTGCAGGCCTGACAACTAACACGTGAAGCAGATGTATGAGCAGGGAAGGAATGCTGAAGGTGTGGGGTTTTTTTTTTTTTCCCGAAGCTCAAAACCCCATTAGAGATGGCAATTTTGCAGGTCTCAGCAACTTTCAAAACAAGATTTGGTCATGGGATTTGATGAGACC